ATTAATAACAGCGTGTTTTCACTACGTGAAAGAGGCGAACTTCTTTATGTAAGAACCCCCGACGAGTATATAGGTTATCAATTATTTTTAGTGCCAGCGGTTTTTCAGTTATAATTAAATTTCAACCAGCAACCTGCACCCTGCACCCTGCAAAATATACCTTCCGCCCGGGAGGCGCGGTTACCACGAACAAAGATGGCGCCACAGGAAGCTGGCAGGCTTATGTTTAATTTAACCCAACTTTGGTGCTCAGTAGATATCACCTAAGCCTGGCCAACTGTCTGGCTCCAGGTTTCGTTATGACGATCTTTGATGTAAATGCACTGCACCGGATGGGACGGTTCGTATGCTTTGTTGTTGGTCACTTAAGCTTATGTCAACTGACTCCGCGGAATGTTTATAGGAATGTGTTCATCGTTACTTTCTTGGGGATTTAAATGACAAACGCTTGCCAAAATCCGTGAAGTATTCTCTCAATATTAATTAACCATAAGGAAACCTTTTAGTACAAAAAAAATCCCCTATTTTTGACCGATAGCTGGCTAGATAACTGAATGTTCTCTCAATGTACTTCATTCTGAAAACATGAATATCTGGGAACCAGGGGAGGTTTGGGGTATATTTAATATTTCTCACAGTTCTAGTTCTTAAATACTTTTTCGCCTTTGAGTTATATTTGACAAAATTGAAACAGCAGATGCATCTTAGTATGTCCATCCCACTTGAATAAAATAAATGTATTCAAAAAAACTCGATCAAAAACTAATCAACACAGTTTAATGTATTTTATTCATAACAGTAACAACGACTTCTGTGCACTACAGTCGAAGATTGAGTTCAAACACTGTTATAAGAAATGTTATGAATGAAGTGAATGCAGAAGTGAATACATGTGTATTGAGCATAGCACAGCTTAATATCAACATCCATGGAAACAAGACATACAGTCAAGGGGATTGCTCCCGGTTGTCATGAAAACTCAGACTCCAAAAACTCAGACCCCGCGGAAAACTCAGACCCCAAAAACTCAGACCCCTCGAAATTGCAAAAAAAAAGGTATAAACTTGACTCAATTCTTTTCACCTAAAATGTTTTATCGTCATGCAATGTTCACAGGTAACAGCTAGATTTATCTTAATTCTCCCATTTATCGCTGTTATGTCGATGAAAAACTAATAAGGTTTAGCAGCGGACACTTTCATGACATTTGCCAGCGACTTTTTTATTGCAGAAATAGAAAGACAGTCGCTATATAAATGTTATTCAAGTTGAAGTCAGTTTTGTGCCATAGTGCTCTAAAACTCAGACTTGCCCGTCATTCTCATCAAGTGTTTATCTGCGTTATGTAGTTGGTAGTCAAATTATAGTTTTGGTCGGGATAACTAGTAGTCTCAGGGCTAAAAATCCTCAACTGCTAACGAGGGAGGACAAGGACATTGACATGACTTGAATCCGTTTCACTTGTGTACTATGTAATTTACTACTATGGATACAAAACTGACTTCTAAGTTTTCAGGGTCTGAGGTCTGAGATCGGAGTTTTCAGGGTCTGAGGTTTCGTGACACCCCATTGCTCCCTCCCCAAATTATGCATCTGAAGGAAGTCATCTCTGAGAAGAAAACCTGACCCTACAGTTGTGAATATTTTATGGAGACTTTAAACAACATGCCACATCCTTGTTTTGGCAAGGAGATGCAACTAAATACTTGCAGGAAGTCTGGTTGGATGATAAAATCACAAATTCATGACTAATGTAACATAGATTTCTTGAAGTTAGAGAAGAGATGATGTTCCCCCGAGCTGTGAAAACCAGAAAGGAAATGTGCCTTAATTACATATTTGATTACATTTTAAGAGGAATACTGATATTTAAGATCTCTGAAAAAGCAAATAGCATTTCTGAAGTTAGTAATGTCAGTGTTTACTACCTCA